GTACAGACGTCTCCGTACTGATCCTTGAGACTCTACGTAGACTCGGCTTGTATACACGTGAGACCTATGAACCTGGGGCTCTGATACCATTTTGTCACGACCCAAAAATGGGTGTGATGGCACTCGTCTTATCCCACCAAGACAAGTCAGCCTAAAACCAAATATCTAACAAAGTGCAGAAGTAATGACAATTCAACAACAATTTCTATTATGAAACCAAGTCATATTAATTCAATTCCCAAAACTAGGTTGTCACGTGCACAAACCTCTAATGTAAATATTAGAATTGAAATAAAATAGAAGTCTAAAATGAAATTGTCTTTCAAGTAAAAACAAAGTCATAAACTGGAGTAGGAAAGTTCGCTGAGATGACAAGCAGCTACCTCACAACCCTCCACAAGATGCCTCGAAAACGAAAAGAATGACACGTATCACGAAGATCTAGGCTCGTAACCTACAAAAAAAATTGTAGAAGCAAGGGGTGAGTACCATACCACGCGGTACCCAACAAGCAAACCTCTAAACACAAGTTAAGTGAACAAAATACGGATACTCCTTACACCCTACCTAAACCTCCACACTACAGCCAAACAGCTTATAGTTTACCAAACATACAACTCAATAACCACACTCTATCAGTTTACACATTCTCAATAACAACTCAATATTCAACAGTCACAAGTTTCACAGAGAAACAATCACAAAATCAGCAAAATACGTGTTCAAGTTCATCAATAATAAATTGTGCAATGCCATGAGATGCAATGTCAAATATAATGATGCATGTCTTTCTTAACGATACACACCCGCTGTCTCTCAGTCCGGGATCCATGGGGGACATATCTGTCCATGCATCTGTCGCGGCGCACGACACGACCCTCGATAATAGTAACCTTCGCGGCGCGCGATACGTCCCTCGAAATATAATATCCATCGCGGCGCGCGATACGACCCTCGAAAATAGTACATCCTCTTACCACAACCATGTCTCAGATACAATGCAAATGACATGCTCAAATGAAAAGGAGGAGATAACCATTTGATAACAAAGCACAATTTGCAACAAGAAATACAACACCAAAAAATAAGCAACAAGTCTCCAAATCATTCTCAATATCACACAAGGAAACACACGAATTTCATACGCTTAACAAGAGTTTAGAAATCCACTTGCCTTAGTCAATCAAATAATTACTCTTGGACTTGAGCCTTCCTTTTCCGTTGAGCTTCCGAACCAATGGAATCTATTCAAGTATATATTTACAATAAGGTTTCAGAATTAACAACACTCACACTTTTATGTGTTTAATCTCGACCTAAAAATTCACCCCAAATTTATAATCAAGTTCGTAATTCTTGATGCCAACTAACATTTCAACTATTATATTTTCCAAGTTTCAAGTCTAGGATTTCATCCCAATTTTCTTTTTCAATATCATAATTTAAATGGTACTCACAAAATATCATTCACCCAATATTCAAATAATATACACGTAAAAAAATTCTCAAAATTTCCACCCGTTACTTTAACACACAGAGATATATGCCTCAATTCTCATTCCAATATTTATTATACTTAATTAATTTTATCAAGTATAAGCATATGACCCTCCAATGATCAGTCATGGTCACTGCCCAATGACCAATAACAATTATTACCCAATAATACATTCATATCCCATAAACATTTTTATTTTCCCAAGTAAATAAATAAATAAATCATTATTTATGTATACAAATTCCTATATTTTCTCTTCCTATTACAATTAATTTGCTTTCTTTTTCATGCACAGGTTGTCACAACCCCACATCACCAAGGCATTGCATATATTAACCCACTTTGTTACCCCCTACATATAATAATAATAATAAAATAATCAAATGTAATATCTATGCATTTAAAGTATAAGTCATTCATTGTTTAAAAGTGTGCCTACCTGAAGTATGTGAAATATCGCCGTTCTTTTTCCCCACTTGTTCGTCTCCTTCGATAGGTTTTTGCCTCTCTCTTTTATAAATTAATAGTTTATTAGAACTGATAAAATCCACTAACTTTTTTTTTTTGAATATCTGACCCTAATAGTATAGAGTTTTAAACAAATGGACACTTTAGCCCACTAACTATCTATTAATTTTATTATATACAATTACTCATAAATAAATTAACCCAAGTTATACGAATAATTTAAATTTTCCAAAAATAACCTCACGGGTCATTATAATATAACTTGAGGAAATATTTTAAAATGAATTCGTATCTTCATTATGAAACTCTTGTGACTAACAAAGCTTGCGAAAATTCTCTAGCAATGAAATTATTGAATGCGTATACAATTATTAAATGTCTCCGCAGCAAGTGAATTTTTAGGTATAATTCAATATATTTCATGGCTAATGATAGATACAATAAGAAAATGTTAGTGACAAATACTTTGTCATAGCCATGAGTTTTATCATTCGTAACTAAACACAAGTACTATTGCTACGAGACTAAGCTATAGAAATAGCTACAAAATTTATGTATACATGGCAAACAAATTACATATTTTGCTACAGTACAATACCTTTGTGGCAACATTGATGTTAGATAGCTACAAATGTTGTATGTTGTGGCCAAAAAAATAATAATTATTTGCTATGAATATATTTTTTTGTGGCAAGTTATTTTTTTACCAACATAACTACAACACAAAAAATCTGTAGCAATAGATGTTTGTTCTTAGCAATGGACCATGCAAAGTTTGTAGTTAACTATTAGTCGCGCTACATCTTGCTACGAAAAATAATATCATAGCTAGAGTGCTTAGCCACGTAAATTTTCACATTTAGTTTTTTGCTTATTTTAATAATGTCATGTGATCATCTTGTCTCTTGCTTTCAAGTTTTTGTCAAGAATGACCAATTAGATTGAAATTTGATTAGAATATATTATTAGTTTCTTTCTAAAATCTCCTCAATATTTATAAAATTCTTTAGTCATGACAAGTCAATTCTGTTTGTATTAATTTTGTAAGAATTTGATAACTTATTAATATTTTAGTGAAGATTGTAAGTACCGTAATAACAAGAGATTATAATTATTATTATATGAGTTTGACTTTATTTAAAATATTTTTTTTTATTAATTATGGTATATTTAAATATTTGTATATACTTTATCACAAACTTATACAATACCCGAATATATATATATATATATATATATAATATGAGATAGTGCAGTTTACCACTTTTGATTTAATCGTAGCTAATTTAGTAGTGTCATTCATTTTTAATATTGGTCAAAGATTTTTCCATTCCTTTTACTATATTATGTATTCAGATCAGCAGCTATCTACAAAATACGTACTTATGCACGCTAGTAAGGGCTTGTGAAAATGATTTCAACTCTTTATTTGATCAACGAAAGGAAATCAATTATTTATATCAAGTAATTCAAGCTCATATTTAAGGTATATTAAGACATCATTTGTCTGACTTAATGAGGGTCTGAATCTTAATCAATCACATTCATCTCATTCAGTGTGCTTGTTTTTGAGGACTTAATCTTAAATGTTCAGATTCAGTTCATTAAATTTATTTGTTTTATTTCCCTATAAACCTCTTAATGAGTCTGAATACATCTGAATGAATCAGATCTCTAACGTATTCTTAACATGACTAAAAAATAAGAGTCCTATTTTAATTCAACTACTTCACAACAACTCATAAAAGTTTTTTCTTCTTATTTAATTAATGATAATTATATGTTTACCGTTGTAATTTTCTTTATTCTTACTGACTTAATATGTGTTTTTTACTTTCATTGTAACGACTCATTTGGTCTTTTTGACTACTGGAGTTTTTCATTGCATAAAAGACTATTTCAATAAATTCTAAATCGATATTTTAGATTATTCTTAACTATAATTATATAAGTAAGGGGAGTAGTTTTAATATTTAATATAGTTGGTGTTTAAAGAAATAACATTAAAATTTATGAATTACTTTTACCATTTCTTTTGTAATTAATCATATAATAATTAGGGTAAAAAAAAAGAAATAATTGGTTGAAGAAAAGAAAAGAGGAGAAGAGGGGAATAAAGCAAACAACACTGACCAAGGAAAATCATGGCATATTCAGGTGAGCAAATCAATATTGAGATTACTTCTTATACAAATATGTACTATCATACCATTTTCAATATCAACTCAAATTAGAGAATGTTTATAACTATAGGGTGGAAGTTTGACTAGTCATAAGACACTTAATTAGCCACGTAGTTGATTGGAAAAATTAATCAAACATTAATGATCAGTGATGGACGCATATTATTATTATATAATTATTATAATATCAGGGAAAATTATGGTGCTGCATTGTCATGAATGTATTTATATTGATATAATTAATAGAGAATATATTTAGCAACTAAAGTTTCTAATTGGGGTAAAGAATTAGAGTGCTGGCGGTGGGAATATGTTATAGGAATATAACTATCATGACATATGGTATTGGTATTGTGCAACACTCAGGTTAGTGTATGGTGGAGGGTTGGATGCCACTGGTTTTTTAACCATTGGCTTTACGCGTTTAATATTAATATTATGGTCTCGTATTATAAATTAATTTTTTGATATATTAAAATAGATAATTAAATATAAGGCATATTATATTGATTGAATACTTTAAGGTTATAAAAATTGAAGAAATTAATAATTACCCTTAGATTTGAATTTTAGGAAATTATTTATATAATTAGATGAGTTTTTGGGTTTAGGCTAGACATAGAATAATATGAGTGTTTATAGGCTTGTTAACTCACAAATTATGCATATATAGTTGATAGATTGGAAAGTTTTGGAGGTATTAAGAAAAGAAAAAACATTAGAGAAATAGTTGCTTGACTTCGATTCTTCGACGAAGGTAGGTTGTAGTTTATGTTATTTGATAGTAAACTCTTAATAGTGATTGATATGCATTAAATAATATTGTGAATTTTTCTATGTATTTGATTATGCATTGTGGGACTTAATTATATATTTTGTAATTGCTCTGAAATTCTAAGATCTTGAAATTTATATTCTTAAATCCTCTATCAAAGTGACACAACAAGAAAAGCTAATTTTGCGGAACGGGGTTACATTAACTTCCGTAAAAATATATTATTTGTGGGGGTTATCTCACCCCCGGCTATTCCTTAAGATAATACTTAAAGTTCAAAATTTATTTCTTTTTTAGCTTTAATTTCATTTTCCCCCCAAATAATCGCAGCCGTTCTAGACTCTGGAGAAAAATCAAGTCTCTTCTCATCCTCTCACCGATTGCTCACTCTTCTCTCGCTCTCAAATTTCTTTCAATCTCGGATTTCTTCAACAGGTATTAGTTCTTACCAGAAAATCGTTGGTTGATTGCTGAGTTTTGCAACTTTGGTTTCGTAGATAAGAATAATCAATGGTTGAAGAAGCTGATTTTTTCCAAGTTTGGTTATAAGCAAAAAAAATTTTATTTCGATTTTTGCTGGTGCTGTAAATCGCTGAATCTAAGGTATTTTTTCCCTGGAATTTACTTTTCAAATCGTTCAAATATTTGGGGTTCGATGTTTAGAATTCATGAATGTTTAGTCATAAAGTGAGTTGCCCTAATTTTACTCTCGTAGCAATGTGATCTCAGGTATTTCAAGTTATGCTTGATCGCTTGATTCTAGTTTATTTTATGTTTTTTTTTTCGAATTTCAAATTGATGAATACATTCAATTCATAACAATAGTTGATATCCTAAAAGGTTAAAGAATAATCTCACTGGAAAAAGTGAAAACATAAGCAAACCTAAATTAGTTATATAACTTATATTGTATTAAGATAATAAGTTTAGTCGTGTATAAAATCAGTTTAAGGCATGTTCACAATGCAGGTAGTAATCACAAGTCAAGCAAAAGCTAAAAAAACACTAAGGATTGACAACTATGACTATATGTTCGTAGTTCTGTGTGTAAGAAGTGGGGTGCGAGAAGGATAAAGTTGTATGATAAAGTTTACATTGTTTCGATAATATTCAACTGTTGATATGTTTACATTATTTGTTGAGTTAGAGATGGAAATTAACCATGTTTAGTTTTATCTAAGGATTATGGGAAGGAAAAGAACTATTATATTAATTAAAACAATAATATTTATAGACATGAATTTCGACTCTCAAACAGGAATAATGTACTTCTTCATTTCTAATCGAACATAAGAATCTTGTTGTTTTCACTCTTTCTGACAGATATAAGTAGTATGATAAATGTTACAGTTACAATTTTTCCTTATTTTTTGAGACTACTTTGTTCTTTTCTCATGTAGTTACAGGCTTTCATTTGAGATAATGCAGCTTCAATGGCAAGTGGTGCATACCATTTCTACAAGCTCTATTGTTAGCTTACTGCTGCAATTTAGCTTGTAAGTGAGTTTGAGTACGAGAATCTGATAGCATCAAGACTAGACTTCACTTCCTGTTACCACTTACCAGTGAGTTCACTCTTCTCGTTTTTTAATGCCTTCTCATATGGTTATGTTATCAAGTTGACTATTTAAAGCTCTTCTATACTTAATAAATTCAATAAGAGCCTTCTTTTGCTACACCATATTTTAAAAAGACCAACAATATATCGAGGGAATATACCTGTGCTGAGCACGGGTCCAATGAGCTTGTCATTTTTTTACTTAGCACGAAGAATGTTTATTCACAGGTCGTGGAGCAAAATTCAAACAATCTGCATTCCATAAGAGTGAGTTGAACAATGTAGAATAACTTGTAGATGTAATAACTATTGTCTTTAACTTGTGATTTTGACTACTTTCTGACCTTAATCTTAATGTCTTATCATTTTGAAGTTGATAGTGAAAACTTATTATTAGACGGAGGATTAACAGTTTCTGTTACTGCCTCAGTTAACAGTGACATTCTTGTCGACATAATTAAGCTAAAATAGACATAGAGTGGGCAAAATTCATTTATAGGATACACACACTACCATTGGCCTGGAGAATGTACATCTTGGAGAACTTCAGTTTCTTAAAGATGGAAATATTTGTGAATATTTTCTTGCTATAGTGTCAATATTTGTGGCTACATTGTTGAAGAAGATAGAAGTTCTTATAAGCAGTCATGCACAACTCGCTCAAGTTCTGCTGTGCTCTACAAATCTTGTGAGTTTATTGTATTTATTTATTTGATTTTGTCCTTTAGATAGTTAGTGAATATGGAACGAAAGTTAAATGCAAAGTTCCATTGACCCAAACAGATTTGGAAGAGTTACAAGAATGTCTTTTTTCTTTGTTGTTGCGCTGATTTACAACTAAGGAAGTTTGATGAAACATTTTTTCCATCTAGAAGTTGACATAAGTTTTGATCAGTACTTTGTTGTTGTTGACTTGCTATGTTTACTAGATGAGATGTCAGATCTATACAACTACAACTATCGAGGGGTAAATTCAATATGTTCTCTAATGCTTCTGATTTGAAGGCCATCATTCTGAAAAGTCAGGTATGTTTTGATGGTATAACAAACTAACTAAGGAAACCATCTTGACTGTGCTTGGATATGAGGTTAGAGAACTCTGTTTCAAATATCTAGTTGTGCCAAACAATTTTACCAGGGAATCTTGCCTTACTAATCTCTACATTATTAATCTTTGTATTACATGACACCTAAAAGGCTTACAGTAGTCCAATTAAACCAATACTGGACAAGATTACTGCCAAGATTACATCTTGGATGCCAGTGGACTCTCTTTGCAAGTAAAATTCAATTTCTCCCAACGGATCCGATCCTAAGCATCATTAGACTCATGTTCAGTTTTGAGAGGTCACGTTATTCTGGTAATTGTGCCTTTTCAAAAAATTATAATTGATCATTCGAATAATAACTGGTATTTTCTATTCACTAGTTGGACTTCTACATTTCAAGTTATAGCTTTTATATAGTTGTTGGTGTTGTTTAATGAATATTTTTACATTGTTTTGGAACTTAGTGCACCTATAATTATGTCATATAGGCATAGCAAGGTGGTTAGCATTGGTAAGTAAATTCTTTTTCTCTGAAACTTTGATACTTCAAATAATTAAGGATTAGAGGTACATTTCAGGGTACAACTAATGTGAGATCTAGCCATATAAATGTTACTAATTAATTTCCTTTTCCAATGAATTCATCTTTAGAGTTTATCTAACTAGGACCCATTTATTTTTACTTTTTTTTGGTAAAGAAAGATGAAGAATTTCATTAGAAACTAAAATTAGTATAGGGGAGTAGTGACCTGTGGCCATCGCTGACCCAATTGGTTTGAATTACGCAAAAAGGTAGCTAATGATGTATTTCTTGAGTGGACTCTTAATCCTGTAAGTTGTATTATTTGGCTGGACATAAACAATAGTAATTGTTTTCCTTTTGCTCCCTGACATGTGTAAGTGGGGATAATTCATTACTTGTGCATATGAAATTTTACTGTGTATTATGTTGTTATTGTTGTAATATATTCTTGTCAACTAACATGTCTTATTCCACCATCTAATTTGACTGGCTGGTAGTACTAAACTCATCAAGTATGCATATATTCATCCATGTTTTGAGTTTGGATGGAAGTTACTTAATATGTAATTCTCTTTGCAGCTAGGTGATATCGTAGTGAAACCCGCTGAAGTTTCATGATAATGTTGCAGATCCTATGTTGAGCTTGGATGCTAGTAGTTTGAAGTTTAAGCAAGTTTTTGTAGTGATTTGAAGTTCAAACAAGATTTGAAGTTTAATCTTAGCGGTTGAAGTGAATGACATTTTAATTTATTTGTAAAACTATAATACACTTCATGATATATTTTTGTATTGAAATATTGTGTTATTTCTTATATTAATATGTCCTTTTAGGTTTGATTATGATGTACATGATAGTTAATTAATTAGTAATATTTAAAATTGAATATTTTTAGTAAATTATATAAAAAGATACATTTCATAAATAGCAGTAGTTTCAGCTCCTGTTAATTTTAATGTAAATTAAATGAATTGCGGGGGTTGACTCCTAGAATTCACAAACTGTAGGGGTGTTGAATCTTAGAATTTAGTAGGGGTTCAAAACCCCTCACTAATGAACCCCTGTTAATGGTACTAGGGGTTTGGAGAAAAACCTCCGAAACTTAATTGTGACACATCTAACTGCAGGAACTTCTCCAACTGCCGTAATACTTAGTTGCGGGGGTTATTGACCGTCACAATATGTAATTTTAATCACTACAATTCAAGTGTTTTTTTTGTAGTGTGATGCCTTGAATAAAGAAGGTTTGATGAAATATTATCAATGAATTGAAAGTGGTGATAATAAATGATAAATTTAGTAGTATAATTGGATCGGAGTGTCACGTTCCGACACGATATAATTGATTGGAGTGTCACATTTCCACACAATATGATTGGATCGGAGTGTCACGTTCGAAAAGATATAATTGGATCGGAGTGTCACTTTCCGACACAGTAACATTAAAGGAGAAGATATGGAATTAACTTAATGTACTCAATCTCAAAGAACCTATTTCTCAAATGAGTGTGGCGTGGAGGCATGAGTCATCATATTAGTTTCTATTTTGGGTTAGCCAATGATACCTAATCAGTACATGTTGCCCCCGTACTGAGCCCTACTAGTATTTTTCTTTGTTTTTCTTTTATGGAGTGCAGTGAGGGTACTATTGACTTTGAATCATCCTCAATTCTAGCTAGTCTCAGCATATCAGGTTCAAGGGCGAGCTATGCATTCAAGCTTGTGTTGGATTCTCTCGGTTATGATATGATGTCCTTAGTTTTCGGACATACATTATTTTATTCATTTATTTTGGTGTCTGTAATATCCTTAGATTTATTATTTGAAGATTAGATGTCCTTGATGTGATGACTTTCAGGTTTTGGGAATGATATGTAATAAGATTAGAGGTTTATTTTATTGGTTACTTGACAAGACTTCCGCATTATGGTTGTTATCCATGGTTGAACACATGATACAAGTTGGGGTTGATTTGTTGGTTTGCCCACCTAGGAGGTTAATTGTGGGTGCCACTACGACTAAATTTGGATCGTGACATTCATAAATTAATCAATATATTTGAATTGATAAGCATTCATGATATGATATTTAGCTCGGTTCCAGAAAATAAGAAAGTATTAGTTATTAATCAATAATAGTAACAAATGTCCATTATAAAATAAAATATTTTCATAAACATTATATTACTAGTTTATATAAACTATTTTACATGACATCATATTATATTCTCGAAGTTTTTGAGTGCAAAAAATAGTCATATTAATAATGTAACTTAATGTTAAATTTTTAATAGATAAATCATATTACCTTGTTACCATAAAAATGTTCAAAATATTATTTTCTATTAAAAAAAACTATTTTACTTCAATGAGTTTTTTTATAACATTTTATTGATACAATGTTTAATTTTATATGCACATTCAGAGATTGAAAACAAACAGTTTCAATAATCTAGTATTCAGATTTAGAAACAACATCTTAACATTCAAATGTTTATTTGGATTTATCCATCTATATCTTAATATTCAGATGTGTATTCAGATTCAGACGTCTTAATCTATATTCAGATGTGTATTGAGATTCAAATGTCTTAATCTTGATGGAAACAAATAAGGCCACAAAATCATTCCTTTTAACATTGCACGAATCTTGAAAAATTACAAATTGTCAAAAGAGTCATTTCTGCTATTTTGTTGCTAAGAAAACCCTCTGTGAAGGGCATTGGTTGTCAACTAATTGTATTCTTTAACTTTATTGTATCGTTATTACCTTTATAATGTTGTGAAATCGGTTTGATGGTTTCAGTTAATTTTTCATATTCCTTATGTCTATTAGTGAACTGTTGTCCTGAGAGTAAGGCAGAAATCTTGGTGAATAATTGTATTGTATTTAAGGGAGTTGTTAAGAAATTCTTCTAGTTAGAATTTTACGAAAATGTAATTTGAAAAGATACTAACACTAAATATTTTAATTTATTCTTTTGGTCATATACTTGTAAAAAAAGTCGTGTTTCTAAAAAGGACAATACTACTATAAAAAATTGGAGTCGTTCATAAATCAAGTCAACTATGTCAATCTTTTTTTGAGTTCTTAAATGACTAATTTTCTAAGTTGAAGTTGAATCATGAGCTTCAAGTCTATTATGAGTTTTGTACGTCTAAATGATCGTATGGAAGTTAAAGTTATGAGGAGACTCCTTCAGAACCTTAAGATCCTTGTGAACGTCTTTCGATTTAAGTACCTTTTGGTTAAGGTTTATTATAAAAGCATATTAGGTTATATGATGTTTTTATATGTTACGAGAATAAGATTATGAAAGAGACAAAATTGGCTAAGTTCTTGTTATGGCCTACTATGTGTATTCAGAGTTCATATCATATCATGGCATGTTACACATTTACTTTGAGGTATAAGCGGAGGGAAAGACACCTATTTTTCCCGAAAACTACATACATTATACTGATGACCACATGTTGGAAAATATGATACCGATTAGCTACTGCAAAAGACCGTTATTGTTAGCATTTAGTTGGGTATGTCATGCCTTTGCATTTATATGTATGTATTCACGAAATATGCTTACACAATCATAATATGAATCTTTGACTACTATGAGGTCAAATGTTGATCATGGAGGCTATAAGAATTTCAATTTTAAGTGGTATCTCTATTACCCTTTCATCACAACTATTTATGATTTCACTTTCAACCTTGTATATCAGTACATTTTTATTCGTATTGATATCTCTTTAAATGGGGACACTACATTTCGTGTTGCAGGTTCATACAAAGGTCTTTATCGTCCTTTGGAATAAGGGTGTTGTCTCAGCTGAGGATAATCGGTAAGCTTCATTCTTCCTAGAGCTATTATTTGTCTATAGGGTTTGTATACTTGAGTTTTGTATATGATTGTTGGTATTGTTGGGAAATTTTCCTAACCTTTAAGTTGTAGTATATTTAGACTCGTGGACATACTTTATTGGGTTGCTTCAGCTTTCCATTAATTGTAGCCTTGTCGGATTGTTCTATATGTGACTACTTGCAACCTTTTTGGGTTGCTAGTTCTTTATCAATTAAGTTTGTCTTGATGGCTCTTTCATTATGTCTTTGTTGTTGTTGTGAACTCGCCGGTCAAGTTAACTTGTTTAAGCATGTTATTATAGTGGCCTTGTTGGCCCTTATTATATCATTTCCTTTATGGTTCGCTCAGTCAATTGAGGCATCGGGTGCCTGTGGCGCCTCTCCTAGTTCGAGGCTTGACATTGGTGAGAGTGAGACTTTGCTCCCAACTATCTGAAACAAACTAATATTGAATTCTCATGATAAAATATAATATTATTTAAAA